TGGAATTACATCTGCTGTATTATAGACAGCATTTTCTCTCCTCTTGCCTTAATTTATGTTGGCAGAATTTTTCAAGAAATTCTCTCATTCTCTCATAATTAAATTTGAAAGCTAAACACTATCTGTTTTTTCAGTGTTAATTTATATTTTTAATATGCAAACTTAAAGTCTACAATTAATCAATTTCTGTACTAATTTTTCTGACCAAAACAAGGCCTTGTAACACTTTACATCAGATTATCCCCTATTATTATTGTCTAATATTTATTTTCAAAATACACCTATTTTTAATTAGACATTATTATTATGATTAATGACTATTATTTAATCAAACAATGATTATTCCGGTTTGTGTATGCTCTCAACAATGTATTCACCAGTTCTCCTTGCATTATATGTCTTTCTTCTTTAATGAAGATCTATTGGTCATAAACTAAAAGTTTTATTTGTTTATAAGGTCTTTATTTCACACTCATTCTCAAATAATAATTAAGCTGGATATATACAAATACATTTGGGAGTTATTTTATTTCAAAACTTTGAAAACTCTTATTATTATATTTGGGTTCCTGCTTTTACTCTTTAAAAGACAGCTATTCAATCTTTGTTACTCTTTTGTAGAAATTTTGCTTTTTCTCACTGGCTACTTTTAAGATATTCTCTGTATCTTTGGGATTCTGCTATTTCACTAAGATGTTTAGGCATGGTTGTCTTTCAATTTATCTTGATTGGTGTAAGAGATTATTAAAATGGTCAACACAGGGAGAGAAAAGATGGCGGCGGAATAGGCGGACGTGTCCCAAGGCTTGTCCCTGAGCAAATAGAATGAGCAGCTGAAACGAATAACATCCACCCTGAATTGGCGAAGGAGACTCAGCTGGTGAGACAGTTTGCAGCCGGGAAGGGCAGAGTTCCCCTGGAAAGGTAAAAACCAGGGATCTTGGCAGGAAAGTTTGCCAGATCTCTGAGCCCAGATGGTCAGAGGGAAACCGCGCGGCATCCAGCCACGTCCCTTGGGAAAGGGACAGCCTCTGACTGAGGAAAGGAGATCCGAAGGACTGTTGGGGCAGGGGGATTTGAGATCTGGGTTCCATAATTAAAATGGTCAACACTTCTCCTTCTCCTTGCATCCATATCCTTGCAAAACAATATTGCAAAATCGTTCTTCAAGAGATGGAGTCTATATCTTTACTCCTTGACTGCATTTGGCCATAGAACTTGCTTTGGGTAGTAAATTATTAGCAAATGTGACCAAGCAAACAGAGCATTGAAGAGGATTAGTGTATCCTCTCTTCTTGTACTTGAAACCTCAAGACTGCCATATGGATAAGCCTGAGCTAGACCACTAGAGGATGACAGACCATCTGGAAGAGAACTGAAGCCAGTCAACAGCCAGACTACTACCAGACCTGTAAAGAGGCTTAGGTCATCCTGCCACCTGCTGACCTATAAATTGACTACAGACACATGAAAGAGCCCAGTAGATATCAGTGTGGCCAGCCAGACCAGGAAAATCATCCAATCAATGCAAAGAAGTGTGGGCTAAATAAAATGGCTATTGGTTAAGAAACCTTGATACCAAAACCAAATAAGAACACTACAAGAAAAGAAAACTACAGGGCAATAACCCTGATAACTTCAGATGCCAACATTTTCAACAAAATGTAAGCAAAGTTAATTCAAGAGTGCATTAAAGATCATACACCATGATTAAGGGAGATTTATCTCTGATATTTAAGGATGGTTCAAGATATGCAAATGAATAAATGTTATATACCACAATAGAATGAAAAACAAAAATCACATGATCATCTCAATAGATGCTTAAATTCATCTGACAAAACCCAACATGATTTAATGATAAAAATTATCATCATATTGGGCAAGAGGCAGAAACTTCAACATAATAAAGGCTATATATGATATGCTCACAACTAACATCATACTCAGTGGTGAGAAGCTGAAAGCTTTTCCTCTAAGATCAGGAAAAAGACAGGGTGCCCACTCTGATATGCCTATTCAACATAGTACTAGAAGTCCTACGCAAGAAAAAGAAATAAAAGGCATTCAAATTTGAAAGGAAGAAATAAAATTTTCTTGTTTGCAGATAATATGATCTTATATATGGAAAATCCTAAAGATTCTATTTAAAAACATTATAACTAATCTATTAATTCAGTGAAATTGTAGAACACAAAACCAGATACAAAAATCTATTTTGTTTCTATACACTATCAATAAAATATGTGACAAAGAAAATGATCCCATTTGCAATACCATCAAAAACAATAAAATTCTCAGGAATAAATTTAACCAAAAGGTAAAAGATTTGTACACTGAATACTACAATACGTTGTGTCTTCTCACTTTTTTTATCAAACAAATGGAAAGATATCCCATGTTCATGGACCAGAATAATTAATATTGTTAAAATGTGCATACTAACCAAAGAAATCTATAGATCCAATCCAATCCCAATCAAAATTCCATTTTTCAAAGAAATAAGAAAAAGAAATAAAAGGCATTCAAATTTGAAAGGAAGAAGTAAAATTTTCTTGTTTGCAGATAATATGATCTTATACATGGAAAATCCTAAAGATTCTATTTAAAAACTTTATAACTAATCTATTAAATCATTGAAATTGCAGAACACAAAACCAGATACAAAAATCAATTTTGTTTCTATACACTATCAATAAAAAATGTGACAAAGAAATAAAGAAAATGGTCCCATTTGCAATACCATCAAAAACAATAAAATTCTCAGGAATAAATTTAACCAAAAGGTAAAAGATTTGTACACTGAATACTACAATACGTTGTGTCTTCTCACTTTTTTTATCAAACAAATGGAAAGATATCCCATGTTCATGGATCAGAATAATTAATATTGTTAAAATGCCCATACTAACCAAAGAAATCTATAGATCCAATCCAACCCCAATCAAAATTCAAATGCCATTTTTCAAAGAAATAAAAAAACAACAATCCTAGAATTTGTATGGAACCACAAAGGACCCTAAAGTAACAAAGTAATCCTGATAAAAAAGAACAAAGTTGGAAACATCATACTTCCTGATTTCAAACTATACTACAAAGCTATGCTAATAAAAACAGTACGATACAGACATAAAAAGACACATAAACCAAAGAAATAGAATCAAGAGGTAAATCATCAGGTGTATGCAAATGAAACCACCTGAGATATCACCTCATACCAGCTAACATGGTTAACATCAAAAAGACAATAGATAAGTTTTCACAAGGGTGTGGAGAAAAGGAAGCCCTTCTGCACTGTTGGTGGGGATGTAAATTGGTACAGCCACTATAGAAAGTGGTATTGAATTTTCTCAAAAAATTAAACTACCATTTGATCCAGCAATCCTACTTCTAGGTAGATTCATATTACAGAGTATACAGCCAAAGGAAATGAAATCACTACCTCAAAGAGATCTCTGCACCCCCATATTCATTACAGCATTATTCACAATAGCAAAGACATAGAAATCACCTAAATGTTTGTCAATAGACGACTGGATAAAGAAGTGGGAGGGATGGATGGATAGATAGCTAGCAAAGACATAGAAATCACCTAAATGTTTGTCAATAGATGACTGGATAAAGAAGTGGGAGGGATGGATGGATAGATGATAGCTAGATGATGATAGATAGATAGATAGATAGATAGATAGATAGATAGATAGATAGATAGATGATAGATGACAGACAGACAGACAGATAATATTCAGGCACCAGAAAGGAAAACATGAATGTACTTTGAGGTTAGATAGATAGATAGATAGATAGATAATAGATGACAGACAGACAGACAGACAGATAATATTCAGCCACCAGAAAGGAAAACATGAATGTACTTTGATGGGATTATGTGAAGTCAAATAAGTCAGACTGAGAGACAAATACTGTATAATACCATTTATATGTGGAATCTAAAAAGCTGAACTCATAGAGAGTAGATGATGGTTGCCAGGGTCTAGAGGAGGAGGAAATGGGAAGACGTTGATCAAAGGGTACACGCTTCCAGTTATAATATGAATTCGTTCTGGGTATCTAATGTACAGACAGCATAGTGATTATAGTTAATAATATTGTGTTATATACTTGAAAGTTGCTAAGAGACTAGATCTTAAATATTCTCACCATAAAGAAGAAATAGCAATTACAAGATGGTGATATTAGCTAACGCTATGGTGGTAACCATTTTGCAATGTATAAGTGTAACATATGAACCAATCATACACCTTAAACTTACATAGTGCTATAGGTTTATTATATCTCAATAAAGTAAAAAAAAATAAATGGGAAATAAACTGAAGTCTCTAATTCCTGGTATTGGCAGACATCCCTCTGGTTTTCATTTCCCTCCATATATTTGGCCCCTATGAATCTCCCTTTGTAGAAGTGCAATGATAAATCTTAAAAGAATTTGTTCTGTTTTATCCAGCATTTAGGGGCATTGTGAAGTACAAGGATTGTTAAAATATCTAGTTTACCATATTGCCAGAAGCAAAATTCTGCCATTCTACTGAAGAACAAGACTATCTTAAAATTTCATGATGTTTTTAACTTCTTCAATTCATTTCAACATGGTATCCTTACGTTTTTATAAAGTACAATAATGCAGTCATTGTACTGTCCTCTTTATAGACAAGAAAATCAACACTCCTAGACACTGATATTTGTTTCCTATTGTATACCTAAACATCACCCCCAAAATGATTTAATATATATTCTGAGAATGAAAACGAACTTAAAGATAACCTTAAGAATTAGTTTGAAAAACATCATGAGGATCATTTATATTCTGCATCATTCATACCTGGCACTACAGTGAACTGTGTGACCTTAGGCAAGTCCCTTTACTCTCTGCCTCACAGAGAGTTTCAAAGCACCTACTTCATAAAATCATGAAGATTAAATTATTTCATTCACATCAACACATAAAAAAGCACGTGTCAGAAGTAGAAAGTAGTCCTTACTTTGAATAAGCCATGCTTTTGGTTGCGCTGACCAAGCCATAAGTTGCTTCCTGGGGGAAGGTTGGTCTCAGGAGGGTCTATCACACGTTCATAAATCCTGTAGGGGCAAAGAACACGGTTACTAATAGAGAGGCTCACTGCAGAACTGAACCGTACACACGCTGCTTGAAGGACTCACAGCAATAGCTTCTGCTATGGGGATTGGAGCCAATGTGTGGCATGTTTGAAATGGCTGGTAGGTAACCTGAATGCAGACATACGTTTCTTGACAACACTTGGTGTTATTTCACAACCTCAGGAGTTCCCTGGATGAAATTAAAAACAGACTCCAATACACAGAGGGCAAGGAGAGACTGAAGAAAGAGGCAGACCACTCCCTATTGATAGGTGGCAGTTTCCTTAAGCAAGTGAACTTACATAGGAGGCTTGTCTTGGGTGGCCACAGAGGAGATCTCCACACCCACCTGCCAAAATCTTAAGTTTATATAGAGGCCTTAATGGGTTTCAGACATGTATACGGTCCAGATGCCTCAATAACACACTACTCTCTCAGGGCTACATGCTTGAGTGGCTCCTAGCATGGGAACAGTGGATGGAATATATATTCTAAGGATAGGGGACAGGGGAGGAGTCTCTAAATTGCCCAGGTCCAGCCTGTGGGTCACCCAGCAGTCCAGTCTTCTCAGTGACCTCTTCTAACACCTGGACATATTACCTGGGCCCCTCATGGCTTTCTGTCTTCATCCTTTGTCAGGGAAGGGGGAAGAGGGTAACATGAGTGTCTACTGTGAGCAAACTCTGTGAGTAAAGTACTTTTATCCATGTTACAGGTGGGAAAGCTGACGTTCAGGGAATGTAAAAGGGCCAGTCAGAGAGTAAGGGGGAAGAGGGTAACATGAGTGTCTACTGTGAGCATTGAACATTCCGCAAACTCTGTGAGTAAAGTATTTTTATCCATGTTACAAGTGGGAAAGCTGAGGTTCAGGGAATGTAAAAGGGCCAGTCAGAGAGCAGTAGAGTTGGGATGAGAATCTCCAGCTGCCTGCTTCCAAAGCCCATGTACTTCCTTTTATACTACTTCTGCCTGGCTTGGTTTATTTAGCTGCTACTCATTTCTAAGGTAACCGGCTATACCCCTTTACACATGTGAGTAGCTAGCAGCTGCTCAGATCACAATAGGCTTAGTCTACTAAATCAAGCTCTTGAAATCATCATCCAATAAGCAACTATTGAGCACTTTTATGGTCTGAGCTCCACATGAAGCAACAAGAGATACAGCAATAAAACACACATACAGCCCTAACTGGTTTGACTCAGCGGATAGAGCATTGGCCTGCGGACTGAAGGGTCCCAGGTTCGATTCCAGTCAAGGGCATGTACCTTGGTTGCAGGCACATCCCCAGTAGGGGGTGTGCAGGAGGCAGCTGATCGATGTTTCTCTTCATCGATGTTTCTAACTCTCTATTCCTCTCCCTTCCTCTCTGTGAAAAATCAATAAAATATATTTAAAAACACACACACACACATATACAAAGTCCTGCCCTTATAGAGCAAAAAGAAATAAGGTAAAATGTTGTGCATGAACAAAATCTTCATATATGATATGATAAGTGAAGACATATGACTAATACAGAGGAGACAGCAATCCCAGGATCTTTGAATGTACCTACTAAACAACAGAATTATCTCTGCTGTCCTGCCCTACCACACCCCAGTTAGTCAGTCACAAATGTTTAGATTTGTGATCCCTTTAGATATCATCCCTGCCTCCACCAGCAGATCACAGGCCTCCACCCACCCCTGGCATGGACCTCCCAGCACCTGGGTGCTGAGAAGAGGAAGGACAAGCTTGCCTGAGAACTGAACTTGTTCTTAGATGCTCAGAAGATTCTGGGTGGGGAAAGACAGAGTGATCATCTGTGAAATTCAGTGCACCCTGATGGCCCTGTCCATTCCTTGCATTCTCCAGTTCTTGCTCAGAACAGCTGCAGGAGGAGTCATCACCAGGTAGGTTCAGAGGTCTACCAGCTATTCAGTCTTCCTTGCTGAGATGGCCCTGGCTGGCTGCCCACAGCTAGAGGGGGACGGGCTCCTCCAGCAACTCTCAGAGGGAAAGTGGAAGAACTGAAAGATTGTCCAGCTGTGTCAAGGCAGGTGCATGAGTGCAAGACTCTTACAGCCAGGAGCTGTCACGCCACAGCCTTGTATCTTAGCCGCATCATCCATGACTCCGCTATTCCCCACAGAAGCATGCCGTTTCCTAACTATCCATGCAAGGCATTCACCTGACAAGGCTCTACATATATCAGGTCCTTCTTTACTAATTATGTTTTTGTTATAAATGGAGGCTCAAGACATAAGTAAACAAAAATAAGTTTCCTTTAAAAAGACAGACTGGGCTCTCTCCACAAGAATTCAGCCAGTATTTTGTCTGTTAGAATGAGCCGTGTTAAATGAAATAGTTTATCAAAACTGCTTTAACAAAAGAGTGTGCTATACACTTCCTTAAGAAAAGTTTTTCCTAAAATTAGGAAGAAGACAAATTTACAACAGGAGAGAAATGCATAAGTTAGAGTAGATGAGCTTGATAGAATTTACTACAGTCATTAAGAGTGATAAATATGCAGGCTGTGAAATATGGGAAAGCACGCAAAATAATTTTCACTGGGGGAAAGTAGGATGCAAAATTATTTATGCACTATGGAGATAATGATGCAAAAATTATGTTCAATGTTGGTGAATTTCAGAGGCAGCCAGAGAGAAATGAAGTCACTGTGCTGAGGGGAAGAGGCAGAATTTTTGATACGGCTGTCTTACTAATCAATTGAAAATGTTGTCACAAACTATTTGAAAACATTTGCATCTGTCAGGGTGAGAGGAGTCTTCAATGCCGACACTCTTTGGTTTTACAATACATGAGATGGAGAGTTCCAATGAGCAGAGCAGGCCCTTCCTCAATGTGTAGTAAGTGCACCAATGAAAGAAGAATGATCAAAACTTAACTTCCTGTCCTGCCCTGTCTTCCACAACCAGAGTAACCATATGTGACGTAGACGCAAACATCTGCACCCACCCACTGTCAGCTAAGGCAGGGCAGTGACCCACGCACCTGAGTTAAAGAGGCAAGTCAATTTCCAGTGTCACAGTTCCCATTAGGAGCCCTGCCTGATTGATCCCCGCAAAATAATCCTGCTGGCTGCTACCTTCCCAGCAGTCCCAAATTCATTCCAAGAGGCAGTCTTCACTAGAGAAGTCCATGCAGCAAGCAGAGCCAACAAACTAGATACGGATATAGCAGAATGTGGAGAGCTTAAAAACATAAATATATATATATTTATTTATATATATATATCTCACCACACCGGGGAAATCTAATCATGAGGAAGTATCAGAAAACCCAATTCGAGGGACATTTCACGAAATAACTGCCTGAGCTCTTGAAAATGTCAGTGTCATGAAAAATAAAGACAGGCTGAGAAACAGTTGCTGATTAAAAGAGACCCTAGGGACATAAAAATGATATACAAGACTAGATCCTAGATTGAATCTTGGGGCAGGGGGAAAAAGTCCCATAAAGAACATTAATGGGAAAATTGGTGATATTTGAATGGGAACTGTAGGTTATATAACAGTATTGTATTGATGCTCAATGTCTTGATTTTGAGAACTGGGTGGTGTACCTTTAAGTAAATGTCTTGTTCTTAGGAAATACACACTAAAGTATTTGGGGTAGAAGGTCATAATGTTTGCAACTTACTCTCAAATTAACAATGTGTATATATGGAAGTACACACATGTATAAACACACACATTATTATTTTGAAAGAGAGAGAAAGCAAAATCTGGGCAAAGAGTCTATGATTGTTTTTTGTACCATTCTTAAAATACTTCTGTAAAATTAAAATTATGTTAAAATTAAAAAGTTTTAAAAATAGAGTTAAAAGCAAAAGGGTCTATAAGTTGGGTGAACTAAAAATACACACACGCAAAACAATTCTATATCTATTAACCAAGGATACAGACAAACTTAAAGTTTCACATAAAGAATATGCTACTGTTTTCTTAAGAGAATTGGAATGGTTAAGGGAGGAGTAAATGAATGGATGAAACAAGAAAGGATAACTACACAGAGTAATGCTGATAACATATCATAAACTAAGAAATAGGATTATCACATCTGTGCTTGTACCCCTGCACCAACATGCCGGAGTACATGGCCAGCACTGGTTAGCTTCCCAGAACCCACTTTCTCTTCCTTCCAGGCTCACACCTGTGCTACATATTCCAGACTCCCTCACAGCTAAGACTGGCCACAAAATGTGAGTAGAAGGGGTGTGCACCACTTCTAGACCTGTTCCCTCCCCCAAATTCCTCTGAGCATCTTTCACATTCTCCTCTCCCTTTCAGATGACTAGAGAAGACTGAGGGCAAAGAGGTGGGTGGAGCCACAGCTGAGGACCCTGGTCCCCCAAACAATAACTGAAAGGTCACCTGGCAGCTAGACACATTCAAATGGATGCTATATAAGCAAGAAATAAAATTCTTAGATGTCTGCTTGTGCTTTGGGATACAGTTCAAAGGAATGACAACTCTGTCACATGAAGAAGATGTAAGAGTGTGAGACTTTAATGTTAAAAATCCAAGAATGTAGGGAGCAGCTGGGGAGAGGTCAATAGTGTCCATTCTATATAATAAAAGCCTAATATGCTAAGTGTCCTGTCTTCCGGTTGGCCACTCAACCAAAGCGTAATATGCTAATGATATGCTAAGGAAGCTCAACCACTCACTATGACATGCACTGACCACCAGGGAGCAGACACTTTGACCAGTAGGTTAGCTTGCTCCTGGGGTCCAGCTGATTGGGTCTGAGCGAGACGGGACAGACACGCCCTGGAGCCCTCCCACAGTCCCTCCCTGGCTGGCCAACCTCCTGTGTCCCGCCCCAGCCCCAATCATGCACCAGTGGGGTCCCTCGGCCAGGCCTGCACCCTCTCGCAATCCAGGACCTTTCAGGGGATGTTGGAGAGCCAGTTTCAGCCTGATCCCTCAGGCCAGGCCGAGGGACCCCACTGGTGTACAAATTCATGCACCAGGCCT